GATACGTGCGGTCCTTCATTGTGACGTGCTGAGGCGCTTCAAGCTGATGTGTGTGGTACCAAGATGAAATAGGCCAAGTAGGGGTAAAACAGTAGTTACTTCAATGCTTTCAAAATGTAGAGCTCGAACGCTATGCGTTAAGTTTCCAATGGTTGTATTGATATATACAATCAGCAATGATCAACACAAGAATACGTATGCAATCAATAATCAACTCGTTCAACCAAAGCTCACTCGTACATCCATGGATGGATATGTCCTTACGATAGGTCGCAGTCCGACCTTGAGATCATGACAATCGTCTTGGTCCTCGGACAAGTCCGAATTAAGCAATGAAAGTATACCGGCTTGCTGCCGAGAATGTAGTGCTCACCAGCTTCCTGCTGAGGTCTTGGAGTCCCGGGGTAAAACGTCCTCAAGGATCCAACTTTAATAACGTTTGCTTCCGTGGGATCCCGGGGTAAAGCGTCCTCAAGGATTCCCACGTCCGTCTCCTTCGGACTATAAACATCAACTGCTTTGACAACAATAAATCATAACAACGTTACGTATTGTTTTGACGTCTTATTTGCTCACTCCGTACTGGTGCGTTCTGGTGCACATTCGCACGCGACAAGCCCTAATCCTAACGCTTAGTTTAACAAGAAGGGACCAGGCCACCATTTTCAGACTCAGAACACAACGAACTCCACTCAATGGAGACCTAAACAGAATACAGCCACAACACTCCCCAGAGTGCCAGTTATGTAACTATCCCTATAAAACTGTTGACCATCATATCTTTGAGTGCCCAAAACTCAACGAGACTAGAAGAATGCTACTCCCCCCGAGACCAGACAGGTGGAACACCTTGTACGGAGGAAAAGACCAGCTTGTGAAAACATGTAAATTCCACTTCATAGCATTGGGCCAAAGGGCGAAAGCTTATGCGCTGGATCAATAACAACTAACTTACTAATCAATCAACCAACCAATCAACCAACCGTCTGTCTGTCTGTCTGTCTGTCTGTCTAACTAACTAACTAACTAACTAACTAACTAACTAACTAACTAACTAACTAACTAACTAACTAACTAACTAACTAAACTAACTAACTAACTAACTAACTAACTAACTAACTAACTAACTAACTAACTAACTAACTAACTAACTAACTAACTAACTAACTAACTAACTAACTAACTAACTAACCAAAAAACTAGCTATTTTTTCCCTAAGACGTAAGCATTTCTTTTGAAGAACTAACTGTCTGTCTGTCTGTCTGTCTGTCTGTCTGTCTGTCTGTCTGTCTGTCTGTCTGTCTGTCTGTCTGTCTGTCTGTCTGTCTGTCTGTCTGTCTGTCTGTCTGTCTGTCTGTCTGTATGTCCGTCTGTCTGTCTAATCTATCTAATCGATCTAATCTATCTAATCGATCTAATCTATCTAATCGATCTAATCTATCTATCTATCTATCTATCTATCTATCTATCTATCTATATCTATCTATCTATCTATCTATCTATCTATCTATCTATCTATCTATCTATCTATCTATCTATCTATCTATCTATCTATCTATCTATCTATCTATCTATCTATCTATCTATCTGTCTGTCTGTCTGTCTGTCTGTCTGTCTGTCTGTCTGTCTGTCTGTCTGTCTGTCTGTCTGTCTGTCTGTCTGTCTGTCTGTCTGTCTGTCTGTCTGTCTAATTTATCTAATCTATCTAATCTATCTATCTATCTATCTATCTATCTATCTATCTATCTATCTATCTATCTATCTATCTATCTATCTATCTATCTATCTATCTATCTATCTATCTATCTATCTATCTATCTATCTATCTATCTATCTATCTATCTATCTATCTATCTATCTATCTATCTATCTATCTATCTATCTATCTATCTATCTATCTATCTATCTATCTATCTATCTATCTATCTATCTATCTATCTATCTATCTGTCTGTCTGTCTGTCTGTCTGTCTGTCTGTCTGTCTGTCTGTCTGTCTGTCTGTCTGTCTGTCTGTCTGTCTGCCTGCCTGCCTGCCTGCCTGCCTGCCTGCCTGCCTGCCTGCCTGCCTGCCTGCCTGCCTGCCTGTCTGTCTGTCTGTCTGTCTGTCTGTCTGTCTGTCTGTCTGTCTGTCTGTCTGTCTGTCTGTCTGTCTGTCTGTCTCACTGCGTTTTCTTAAGTTGCTCTCTTCATTCTCTGTTAACAGTCTTTTTGTTTTTAAATCATCAATTTTTGATTTGATTTGATATCCTAGGTATTGAATTTGAGTGGGGTAGTACCAGAACTTTCAGTGGTGTCAAACCATCATTCAAGGCTGTATTTAATGTATTGTATTTTTGTCATCTGACAAATGATTTGGAAAACCAGGTATGTGTTTCAGCAATAAGGTATTCCAAATTCATTTGGTAAACATTCAGATGAAACATGTGATAATGCTAGCTGCAATGAATGACACATACATTTTTATAAGGATTAACGATGGGATAGCTTCCTTCAACTAGGAAGCTTCCCATCGTTAATTTAAGAGTAGGAACAGGCTGTTCCACTTATCAGCTCCCTGATTGGATATTAAAAGAAATTGGAACAGCTAAAGCATACCAAAGTCATTTGGATCTGAAGCTTCAACTTCATCATCCAAGCTGAGTTTATCATGTGGATCTTGAAAGGCAGACTTTAGTAAAGATGAGGACATGATTCTATAGGGTAAGTCAAATCAATAGCTATGTGATTTTGTGACTCTTTCTATTTGGATGTTTTTTCTAGATGTTTTCCAACCACGCAAATTTAGATGTTTGTAGATATTTTTTGACTGCGCTTTGGATGTTTTTTTTGTCAAAGAAAAGTGGCAACACTACACTGCTCCCTACTTCCTACATATTTTGGCACCATGGCGCGTCGACCGCTAGGAGTAGCTGCAATTAAGAATAAAAGTCTTGCACAGGTTTGCAATAAAGTTTACTGGAATAATTATTATTAACACTTGGCATGCAGTGTGAATATAATTTCCGTCTAATTCAAGACTAATACAAAGTTAAACTTACTTCCGGAGGAAAAAATAATTGCCCTTTAGGCCTTTAACTTACTTTTATCAGTTTATCATGGATTAGGTTGTGATAGGACACCAACAATGAGTAGTGATGCTAATGACGTTTTATTATATATATATCTTTTTTCCACAGTGAACTCTATAAGTTGATTCTAATTGGAGATACTAACATTTTAAAGGCGGATAACACCATAGACAAAAGATGGATGCTGAGTTGCATCCCAGTAAAACGAAGGGTGGAAATCAAAATGACTAAATGTTTGCATTTTTGTTGTTGTTTAACGAACCCCTTAGCAACTATGTATCATTGCAACTAGTACAATGTGGCCTAATCGAATAGGTATTTCTGAAAATACATATGATGCAATCATCATCATGTAGCAGGTCCTTTGCAGAACATCGCTCTTATCACAGTCTGCCTGAAAGAAACTCGGTCTCTCGCCAGTTCTCCTTCCTCATGCACTTTCACACTCAAGGAGTCACTTATATCCTGTGCCCATCTTCGTGTTGGTTGGCCCCTGCCCCTCCTTCCTGGTACCATGCCTTCTGCTATAATTTTTTCAAATCCGTCGTGGCGCTTGATATGACCAAAATCTTTCAGCTTTCAAGAAAGGATGCTGTTTATTAGCCAATCTTAATTGATGTTCAAACCTTTTAAGATGTCAATATTTCTAATCTTCTTTGTCCAAGATATTCTGAGAATATTTCTATAGCACTTCAGCTCAAAAGCCCGTATTCTCTTTCTTAAGGACTGAGAGATAGTCCACGACTCACATCCCTATGTAGCATACTCTCAAAATTCTAATTTTGATCTTCTTGCTGGTGCTTAACCATAGACTTTTAAGGCTGTTCAATCTCTGCATTGCTATGGCCATCCTCCTTTTAATTTCTATGGATCAGTCTCCATTGTTGTTTATTATAAAGCCTAGATATTCAAAGTTTGTGACATTTTCAATTTCTTCATCATTTATTGTTATTTTTGGGTGACAGCCAGTTTTATCTGTGGACATCATTTTCGTTTTCTTTAAATTCAAGAACAGATTTTGATCTTCACTGTGCTTTTGGACAGCCAATATTAAATTTTCTTTTCCCTTTACACTGTTCGAAAGAAGGACTGTGTCATCTGCGTAGCGGAGTTCGGAATAGGATTGCCACCAATTTTGAGCGGATCATAACTGTCACAAGTCTGGTCATTTTTGACATTTCTCATTAAATGTTCTGCGTAAATATTGAATAGGTATAGAGAGATAATGCACCCCTGCCTCACCCCCTTTTGCACCTCCAACCAATCAGATTCTTCACCAGCTGCTCTGATGGCTGCTTGTTGTTCATGATAAAGATTTTCAATTAAATGCACTAAATGCACTGGAAACCCCATATTATTCATAATAGTCCACAGTTGGTTATGCTGGACACAATCAAATGCCTTGCTATAATCAATAAAACAAGCATGAAGATCTACGTTGTATTCTCTGCATTTTTCAAAAATTGTTCTCATATTAGTGATCCCTAGTTCCTCTACCCTGTCTAAATCCCGCTTGTGCTTCATCTAGCTCATATTGTAATTTCTTTTCGATCCTTTTCATTATAATTTGTAAGAGGATTTTGCTAGCATGACTCATTAATGCGATGGTTCGGTAGTTGGAGCATAGTTTTGGATTTTCTTTCTTTGGGAGAGGGATATAGACTGTTCTTTTCCATGCTTAAGGCCAAATTCCACTGTTTCAGATCTTCGAGCACAGTGCATGGTAGATTCGGATGCTGGCCTCTCCTCCTGCTTGAATTAGTTCTGCTGGTATTTCATCGCAACCTGGTGGCTTTCTTTTCTTCAGGCTGTGTATTGCTGATCGTACCTCATCCAGTAAAGGCTCTGGTTCTTTTTCATAACTTTCACAAGTCGTTTTTGAATTACTTGTCACGTCCTCATACATTTCTCTACAGTATTCTTTCCATCTTTCTAATATGTCTTTGGTTTTCGTTAATGTGTTACTGTTTTTATCATTTATTACATGTAAAGAAGTCCCGAATTCACATTTCAATGTTTTCATTTCCTTAAACATGTCTCTGTCTCTTCCTTGCATCCGGAGTTGTTCAATTCTATTACAGGTATCTATAATAAACTGTTTTTTTTTATCTCCTCTGATAGCTCTTCTGATTTCTTTCGTGTAGTAATACTAGCCTAATTAACATTTAAAAATGGCCTCCAATTCACTATTTTTAAGTAAGCCCAATACAAATTTATGTTTATCTACCAACAAGCCTGTAGTGTCAAAATGTATAATACAGTATTGATATTGTGCGAACTTATGAAGCGGACATGTGGATAAAGCAAAAAAGGCTATCCTCCGAATAACTGTCCCAAATTATCGAGGCTAAAAATATGCCCTAACAGTGCCTTAGTCACATGTAAATTGCGGACTTCCAGCGACTTAAACTGTGGACTTCCGGCAACCACTGCCACCGCCGAGAGTATCTCCCGCACCGCTACACCCGGCGCGGGGCTAAACTAGATGGCTTTAACTTATAAACAGCAGCTACCACACCTCCTGCAGCTTCTTTCATTTTATTTGCTCGTGAGTCCTAGCCACCTACTTTAGCCCCACGCCATGCGTAGCGGAACAAAGTATGTTCACAATATTCCAGCATGTGATCCTGTCGGTGATAGATTATGGACTTGGCATGCTTGCCATAACAAAGAGTCAGCTTATGAAACTTGAAAGCATACAGAATGAACCATGCAGGTAATTCTGGGATGTATAAGAGATACCCTGGTAGTATGTATGCGATATATACTTGCACTGTCTACTATTGCAGATAGGCTCAAAGTTCTGCAAGCAAAGTCATACCTCAGAGAAGCTGCAGACAAGAGGCACCTCTTGCATGAAGCCCTGGATGGAGCTAAGGGTCACAGACCGAATAGGATGGCGCAAACTGAAGTCACAATTGGACATGTGTGCAGGCTTGATAAATTTAATGAGGAGAGGAGTGTTTCAAGGTGTTCGATCAATTTTCAGACTTGTGTAGGGTTCTAATCACTTTGGGACGTCAGTGCAGGGACTTGCCAGCTGGTGCTGCAGAATCAGAAGTTAAACAAATGAAAATTCCCGCCCATCTGATGTGATTGTATATACAGATGTGTTGAGGAGCAGACGAAAGGCATAGGGGTTCATATCGAAGGCAATGAGCGTCACTTGGTGCAACAAAGCCCGGCAAACAATATTGCAGCGTCTAGTTTGAGGGTAGAGGCAGTCACTGCTGCCTGCCTTCCGCGTAATTGTAACTGATTCACAAAGCATGCTGAAAAAGGTTTAGACAGGCATGCTCCGTGCAGAGTTGCAAGCAACACTTTAAAGGTCCTGGGCATAAGCATCTTTTGGATATTTTCTCCGGGTCATGCCGGTGTGTTGGGAAATAAGCAGGCAGATAGACTGACCGTTTCTGCACCACTTGGTGGTGAACTGATGTATGACAAGCTAGATGTTGTGAGGGCCCTTTGGGAGTGAGTGAACAGTGTCGAGAATCAGATAGATTATTACACTGTAAGGAGAATGGCACTGCGAGGAGTTGCAAGGGGATCTGGCCAACTATCGACATTCAGGGGAAGGGTGGACGGATATACAATCAAACAGTTACTGGTACCATCAGAATTTTAACCTTTCGCTTGCTGCTGAAGATGGGGACGGAAGTGTGTTAACCCTTTCAAGCCCATGAATTTTGGCAGATTTGGCTCACATTAATTTCCCTTTGAAAAAATGGCAGAGGAGGTGGTGTAAAGAAGAGGCAATTGAAAATATAATATGTTTCTAATCCCTACAAAAGTATACATTAAAAAAAAAAGGAAGAGGAATGAAAGTACATAATGAATCTGATGTTATGCTATTGTTTCATACTGTTATAGTTAACAGGAAGAGTAAATTTGTCAGGTGTTATGTTTACAAAGAAAAAGTTTTGCCCCAAAAATCTTCACTTACCATAGTTTTGCAGCCACAAGAGCAGTGAATATCCGTATTTGAGACTAACACTTTAAAGTTTGTTCAGTTTCCCAACAAATTCAAAAGTTATGATAGTTTCTGGGTTAGTTTATCACTCAGAGAGACTCTTGGTTCTCATAGAGTGCTGAACAAAATTTCAAAGAAAAAATGGCAGATATTTTGACCTATAGTCCTATGCACACAAAACATTAACTTTGTAGTTATATACAGACTGTAGTTGGCAATGACTTCAGTGTAGCTTTGCCACAGTATAAATATGGCACTGTCTGAAACAGTTCTTTTAATGCATATGTGGGTGACATCACATCCTTTGCAAATGAAATGGGTCCTTCTAAATTGACCTAATCAAAACAAACAGCTGACCACTCAGCTGTCACTGGTGTAAATTTACCGTCCGAATCACTTTCCAAAAATTTTAATTGTTTATTTTAAGCAGACATCTGACTGAAACAATTTCAGAGCTTCAGCCATAGAAAGGTGTATTTTTTGGCCTGGGCTTGTGTTCAGAACATTGGTAACCATGGCCACTTGAACACAAAATCAGAAAATGCACTATCTGAAAATCACGCTAGCAATAAATCGGATCAGTTTGTGCCCACATGTGTGTGAACATAGACTTGTTTTCAAAGAAAAATATTTGAGTAGCCTTCCCTATATACTTTAATGGTAGTACCGAACATTAGAAACAAATACAGAGCCATATGCAAATCAATATGTACGGGACACACGATCAATGCAGACAGTGTTGTTTAGGCAAATCTGACCTTCTCAATCAACACACCACACATCATTGCTGAAGCCTTAAAGAGTTGAGCATTTTTGATACTGTCTAACTTATTGTAATTAAAATTTACACATCACATAAACTTATTTGTTTTCAAAAATGCATATACATTGGCACTG